ATAAATAGTATAAAAGATTACATTTCTATCTATTCTACATTAATTGAAATCCAGCATGGGCGCCAAAATAATTAAAAAATTCAAAATGACCGCCAAAAAAGTTGATTTTTAAATATACCCAAAATATCTTGCAGTAAGAATTATATTTAAGATTATAATTGATATAACATAATTTAAATTAAAATAATACAAAAATCTTTATTGCTAGCCGCTCCTTTGAGGCTTATTAGAGACAGTTGTTTATTAGTGTTAAAAATTTTTTTTAATGATAGCCACTCCTTTGAGGCTTATTAGAGACAGTATTATAATGGCAATTATACGTATAATGAATCTTTGTTAACATTGTATAATCTGGTTTAAATTTAAATAACTTCTACCTTATCCACATTTGCAAATAAACTGATGACATTCATAATTAAGAGTTTTAACATTAAAAAGTTAAAATAAACATAATAAAAGAAATAATAGTGGCCTAACGCTTAACTTTAATGCATTCCATCACAGATTTTTCAACTTAATATAACTTTGTAAGTATATAAAATTGTATTCATTTTGTAAATAGTAGTTCATTTATTTTAACCTTCTATACCCATCATCTTATTTATGAATGTTGAATAATAATAACAATAACAATGCCTAATATTAAGGATGCATTAGTTTTTGAATATCTTCAATTAATTTTACCAAATATCTTTAATTAGTCTTCAAACATCTTTTCAATTATCTTTAAACTATTTTAAATATGAATTCTTTATGAAACATGAAATATATAATTTATTATAATAATAAATTTATTTCAATTTATTAATATTATTACTTACTATAATTTATGATAAAAATTTTAATTTACCCTTCTAATATATTAAGCAACATCGGATATGCACTACTTAGGTGATAATGGCATGCCTCATTTGCGGTGCTGAGGACAACAACTTGATTATCTCCAAATGAGTAACTGGTCTACAGAATACTAACACATTGCTGGGAAATGAATTGGGTTTGAAATTGGGAAACAATGCTGACAGTTTTACGACTATTCTAATAATAGATTATTTAAAAATAAAACATTTCTTTCAATTTTTAAATCACATTAACATGAAATATCCGCTATATTAAAAACCGGATAAAGTTATTATCCGGCCAGATATCAGATATCGAATACTACTATCCAGCCGGATAGCTTATCCGGGACACCCCTATTTCAGATAAAAATTAGACTGAAGGTGAATCAAGATATGGTTTGACCGTAAAAAACAAATAAAAAACACAATGCATGCCAGAGTTTCAATATTTACTGAACGGTGTCGAAAAAGGGTCGTTTTCCAAATTTGGCCAACAACCTTTATATATATATATATATATATATATATATATATATATATATATATATATATATATATATATATATATATATATATATATATATATATATATAATCTTTCTTTTTCTGGTAACTACGTGAGGGCACTAATGTAGTAAAATTTTCCGACCCCTCCCCCCAAAAAAATAAATAAATGAGGGGTTGTACATTTTGTAATTTACAATATTTTTCAATTCTGTCGATAAATTTGAATTTAATTTTAGATCGTTAAGTTAAAGATTTTACTACAGTAAGTGCCTTCATGTTTGAGCAGGGGGCAAGCGTTTCAGGACTATTTGTTGACAGCTCTTCGCCATACCAATTTTTTACAAGGTCTCCTCATTTGACATAGGTATAAACATATTTAAGTTTGGATACTAAAACATCAAAATATCCTGCAGGCGCCCATGCCAACCCTTATATACTGGCCCTGAGTATACTCAGGGCCAGTATATAAGGAGTGGCATGTGTGCAAAAAATAGGTTGCCTATTTTTTGAGCCAACAAAAAACAGGTTTTAGCAGTGCAATGGCTAATAGGTTTGAGACCCCCCTCCCCTAAAAATAAAAAAAATGTGTCATTAGTCTCAAAATCTTCCTAATTTTACTGCTATGTTTTGCTAAAATAAAATAGCAAAAGGGCATAAAATTTGCTGCTCCCCACAACACCCCTCCCCCTCTAATAACAGGGTTTGGGTAGCAACACTTGTAACTGGGTTTTAAGCTTTGTTTTCAATATTACTTTTCTCGCTTTTTACGGACTTACTAAAGACGGATGCCTGAAAAAAACATCTGCCTAAAGTATAGTTTATTTTTATTTGAAGCGTCTCATTAAACAGATAAAGTAAAATAGGACTTTATTGGGAATCGAACTCGGATCTTCGCTGTCACTCCCCGTAACATCATCCACTCAGCCAAGCGATCTCTTCAATAATGCAAGATTTAATTATATTGAAATTTATATTTGTATATATTTTTTATAAATTGGAATCCTTTGCCGCTAACTAAGGGCTTTGGGGTCGTTAAAATAGTTTTTATACGTTTTTCACCCCCGCTAATGTTTTTTTTACAGGGTTATTCATTCTTATATGCGCGTCTATTCATTTTTATATGCGCCTTTATTCATTCTTATATGCGTATTTATTCATTTTTATATGCGCCTTTATTCATTCTTATATGCGCATTTATTCATTTTTATGTGGTTTACAAAAGCAATTGTAAAAAAGCAACTTGAACCAAAAAGAATCATTTAATAAAATCATTGATAAAACAGTTTATTATTTCAAAGCAAATTTTTCTTATTTCCTGGTAAACGAGTTTAAAAATACTTATAAGACGAAGACTTTTTACATTCGATGATGGTTTATTTAACTTAGTATTAGTTTTTAGTTTAATTTTATTATATTATATTAAATTGTATTATTGTATTAAATTTCTTGATTGATTAAGTTATTTTTTATCTAATTATTTATTTTTTTAGATTTATTATTTAATTATTTAAAATTATTAATATCAAATTTTTACCCTATGGATGGAATAGAAAATAATCGTAAAACAAGGAAAAATGTTACAAAAGAGCACATTGAAATGCTTAAACATTTAGTTGAAAGAAATCAATCTACAACAAGCATTTCCACTTCTCTTAATTTATCGAAGCGCACAGTTCAAAATCTTGTCGTTTAGTTAAACAGAGGAGAATTCGACGACATGACTGCATTCAAGTCGTCTTCTAATAAAAAAGGTGAAAGACCTATAAACGCTCAAATAAAAAATATTATCGAATTATGCGTACAAGAAAACAATCTTTGCACGCAAGAAACAATAAAAAAAATCTTTCTGCAGCAGGCTTCAACATGTCTCAGCCTACTATTTCAAGAAAACTCAAACGCTCGGATTTATCAAGAAAACGTGTTGTGCATGTGCCAGAAGAACGAAATTCAACACGAATTATTAATGCACGCTAGGCATTTGCAAGCGAAATTAACGGAATTTCAGATGAAAAACTTATTTATTTGGATGAAACTGGATTTAATGTGCACACTAACAGCACATATGGTTATTCCCTAAAAGGTGCGCCAGCAATTTTACAGTCGCCTGCAAATCGTGGCAAGAATGTTAGTTTAATTTGTGCTGTTTCAACAATGGGAGTGCTTGCTTATGAAACAAAAACTGGAGGCTGGAATGCAGATTCATTTTGTACTTTCATAACTACAATGATGGCACCAGCGATTAGGAATGCAAATGTGGAAGCGCCGGTGTCTTTCTGTTAGGCAAACACTAGCCTCTCATGGTATAGCTATTAAGTATCTGCCAGCTTACACGCCACAGCATAATCCAATAGAAGAATTTTTTTCTTCTTTAAAACATACTTACAAACAGGGAGAAAGGCCTCGAAATACGGATGAGGTAATCAGGAAACTTAAAATTATTATGGATACTACAGAGTTTAATATAGTACCATTTTACAACCATATGCGTAGTTATACAAATCAAGCGCTGGCTCGGCAACCATTTCTTAAATAAATAACAATGAAAACAACCTAATTTATATTTTAAATATGTCTATATAAAAATTTAAAAGCGTATTTATCGTTTATATTAAATTATATTAGAGATTTTATGGGTGGTTGACGCATATACAAACATAGGGATGTATAATTTGATATTAATAATAATTATAAATAAGTAAATTTAAATCGAGATAAATGAATAATTAGATTAATAATAACTTAATCAATCAAGAAATTTAATAATAAAATTACAAAGAACTAATACTAAATTAAATAAACCATCATCGAATTTAAAAGGTCTTCGTTTTAAGTATTTTTAACCTCGTTTACCTGGAAATAAGAAAAGTTAGTTTTGAAAAAATAAACTATTTTTTCAAAACAAATTGCTTAAATGATATTTTTTTTGTTCAAATTGCTTTTTTACAATTGCTTTTGTAAAACGCATATAAGAATGAATAAATGCGCATATAAAAATGAATAAAGGCGCATATAAGAATGAATAAAGGCGCATATAAAAATGAATAAAGGCGCATATAAGAATGAATAAATGCGCATATAAAAATGAATAAATGCGCATATAAGAATGAATAAAGGCGCATATAAAAATGAATAAATGCGCATATAAGAATGAATAAAGGCGCATATAAAAATGAATAGACGCGCATATAAGAATGAATAACCCTGTAATACAAAAATTTATTGAAATAAAAAAGGTGGAGGAGGTATACCCTAGATACTTTAAAAGTATCTAGGGTACCTCCTCCATTTTTTTTTTCAATATAGGGGGAGGGGAGAGGGTATATGAAAATGTAGGTACTTTTTAAGGGGGCGGGGACTTAGAAGTACGAAAGGCAAGAGGGGGGAGAGGGAGTGTCAAATTCTAGAACTTTTGGCGTACGTACTTTACGGACGACCCCTAAGCAATGATTTGTCGATATCGGTTAAAACCAATTTGAGACGCTTTTACAACCCCCTCCCCCTACAGTGATTTTTGTATTCAAATACCATATTTTTAAGAACGTCTCGCAGATTGTGCGCAACACGGGGTGAATAAGATTAACACCTCTTCTCTTTGTACGCACCTGCACGCACTTTTTGTACATACTTAAACACGTAGGGAAAACAACTTATATTTCAATAAAATTATTTAATCAAAATAATTTTGACGAATTTTTTACCTTTATATTAGGATTTCAGATGCACTAAAATCTACTAAAAAGAGAAATAGTCTACTAAAACTTAATGAAACAAACACCTGTTCTTCTATCATATAATTTTGTTACTTTTTGTTGTTGCAGTTGTGTGTCGTTTTGATTCGAAAAAAAAAAAAAAAAAAATTAAATATTGATTTATAGGAAAAAATTAAAAATGAAGCCATTAATTTAATGAAGAAAAAAAAAAGAAAAAAAAAAGACTATTTTTCCACTTCAACTTTAGACTTTTTTTTAGTGGTAAACTTCTTTTTAGCCTTTTCAGGTTTATCTTTCATAAGTCCTTCTAAAGCATCCTTTGCTCTGGGATCCTTTGGATGTAAACCAAGTTTTTCTATATACCTTTTGTTTCGCTTTTGCTCCTCTTCATCTTCTAATTTTTTTAATTTCTTTTCTCTCATTTTTGACTTATACTCAGCAATCCAAAGAGGCATCATTTTCATATTCTGTTCAATTTTTTTTAACCTAAAGTTTCAATAAAGAAAAAATTACTTTGACAGATATTAAGTATACTTTTAGATATTACGTAAAGCTCTAGTTTTCAATTTTAAAGTGTCAAATCTAAATTCCATTAGAATTTTAAAACTAACAACCGTTTTCGTTTTGTTTTTCTAAACTAATATTTTATTTAAAAGGCCAAAACAAATGACTTAGTGTCAAAACTTAAATGGGTAATAACTTGATTCTCCATGCAGCGGCCTGGTTTCCCATGGTTTGTATTTGGTGCTTAAAGAGTTGAAAGAAGGTAAAAGGTAATAAAGTAGCCTTAAAAGGTAATAAAATAACCTAATGCCCTTCTTGGATTTGGGGAGGTGAATAAGATTGAAAAATAGTTTAATGACATATCTATGAAACGTTTATAAAAAGAATCTTATAAGAATCTTATTTTAAAACTAATTTATATATTTTTTTAAAACTAACATATAGAAAAAACTAGAGTAATGACTTGAGACTAGTATTGGTATGATTTAGATACGCCTAGTGTATTCTTATTTATTTTATGTTGTCTGTGCGACATTTATGCTTAATACTTAATACACGACGATTTCTTACTTATATGATGTGAAACAACGATAGAACATTAAAAAAGGTAAATCTTTTATTAAGGTAAAACTTACCGCTCTTCTTTTTCTAATATATGTTGTTGAACTTTTGGCATCGGATCAAGCATTCTGTCGCGTGATGGAAATATCGGAAAATAATGTCCAGCTCTAATAAGCTCTTTTCTCTTTTTTCGAAAAACATGTCCACTAATTTTTGGTGGTTGCCACTTATTTTCACCAATCAACTTTTTTCTTCGTAACTGTAGAAGATCCCTCACTTCATCAGATACTCGAGGTGGAGGTTCTGGAACAGAACATTTTTACATCTTTTCATCGCCATAATCCAACACACTGATTGTCCAAATGACAAAAAAATTATACCTTCTAATTCTTCTCTTGTTAATTGAGGATAAGGAGTAAAATACTGAGCATTGTGTTCACCAAGAATTTGGTGTGTTACTGGTAAAACACGAGGAGTTTTGTGAAGGCAAAAACCTGTTGATATAGACCTAATAAATCAAACCAAAAAAAGAAATTTAATGTTATTGTATTGTACTCATTATTACGAATATAAAAATCAAATAAAAACAAATTAAAAAAACTACAGGCTTTCATAGGAAGGTGTGCATTTGCACACCATTATATGATAATGCAAATAATATTTTGTTTTCAAAATTTAAAAACGAACTAAAAAAAAAATTCATTTCAAAATGAAAAGAAATCTTGATGTGAGAGAAAATAAAAAAAACGTTACACAAAAAACAAAAACATAACTCAAATAAAATAAAACTAACTAAAACAGTAAGTTTATTTATATCATGTTTTTAATTACATTTGGAATAATAAACTTTGAATCTTTTATCTTTACTAATGTTTATTAGTAAAAGCATTTAAAATCATTGAAGCTTTCCCAGGAAAGGCGTGCGGTTTTTCGTCTTTTATGACCACGCGTGAGTATTTTATTTTAGACAACTTGGTCATGGCCGTTTGCAAGTTTTTTTATATGCGTTGCTGACAAATGTTTTAAAAACAAAATAACAAAATAGGAATTTAAAATAAACTTAAATAGAAAATAATAATTTAAATAATTTGTGTACTGTTTTTATTTGTGTTTCTTCGTAATGGTTATTATTTTCGGCAACAAAATTCGGTAAGTCAAAGCAAAAAAAAAAAAAAAGAAAAAAAAAAAAAAAAGTTTTAAACATTAAAAAAAAAAAATGATTTTCCTATATTTTGTTTTTTTTAAAAGGGGAAAGCAAAAATATAAATTGCCATTTGTTTGTAAAATATATTTGCATAATTTTAATGAAACAAGTATATATTAAGGGGTGAATCAAGCAATTGCGATTTGCAAACCTTGGAAAAATATCTGATCTTCAAAATTTTAGTTTATGCAAAGCTGTGTACTTTGTTTTCAAAGAGCAAATTATCACAATTTTGTAGCGAGAAAAATATAAAAACAAAACAAACAATAAACTTACGACTACAATAGTTATAATACTCTTGTCACTAAATATATTATAAAAGAATAAAACTATAATAGTGTTATTACTCTTATGAAGCACTTATTACTTTTAAAGTTAATTCTTTCTTCAAACAACATTAGTAATTCCAAACAATAATTAAAGTAGAAAAGCATCTAGAAAAAATAAAACGGATACTCAAATAATAAAAGCTTGAGGAATTTTTACAAATCACTTAAAAAACTTTATAGAAATAATTTTTAAAATCAACAAATAAAAATTGTTATTGGTTGATTTGAAAATTAACGCGCGTTTTAACGTATCATTAGTAACGTTTTTAATAATGCTAAACTTTTTAAAAAATTATGTTTGATAAAGTTACGTTTACGTTTTTATAAGTTACTTAAGTTTTAAATATTATTTTGATATCCACTATATTTTTCTAGATGCTTTTCTACTTCAATTAAAATTTATCTTATTAGAACTTATCTTATTTAAGTTATTAGAACTTATCTTATTTGAACAAATAATGAATTATAAAAGTTATAAGTGCGTTATAAAAGTAATAACACTATTATAGTGTTATTACTTTTAGAATGCAGTTAGTCACTAGAGTGTTATTACTTTTGTATTAGTAGATTTATTGTTTTATTTTTTATAACTTTTTTGCTAACAAATTGAAGTTGATTCGCCCCTTGAAAACAAGGAACATGTTTTTGTATAAACAAAAATTTGGAAGAACAGATATTTTTCCAGATTTTGCATTACATGATCGCTTAAATCAACTCTTGTTGTTATTTTAATATATTTTACTAATATTTTGCAATTTATATTTTGGCTTTCCTTTATAGAAAAAGTTAAATAAAGGAAAATCATTCTTTTTATTGTAGACTTTTAACTTTTTATTTATTACTTCGTCATTTAATTTTGTCGCTGAATGTAACAACTACTCTAAAGAAACAAAAATAAAAACAGTACATAAATTATTTGAATTATTATTTTATTTTTTTATAACGGGTGTTCACTTGAAATCCGGACTGACTTTAAGTCAATATAAATCTGACATAATATATTGCAATTGTACCATGTGATACATTATTTTAAAGCGTTTAAATTTAGCTTTAATATGCTACATTTATATTTAGATTGAATGATTATTCAAATTGAAAATGAAACCTAAACAAGACGACACTCGAAAACGTGTGTACAACTTCTATATTGAAAATAAAGAAAAAGGCAAAAAGTACACCGTAGATCATTTTGAAAAAGAAAAAATTGCTAGATCGACCATCTATGATAATTAAACGCGCTGATGACGATTCTGGATATCTTAGACATCCTGGTTCAGGAAAAAAAGCTCTAAAAATGACCCAAAAAAAAGTACAAGCTTTAAAATCAATGTTTGATCATCATGATGGCGTTTCTTATAGGAAAGCAGGTAGAAAATTTAGAATATCAGCTTCTTATGCCCATAAAATTATTCAGACAAAATCAAAGATCAAGAAAAGAAAGAAAAAAAAGATTCCACATCAAACTGATGATCAAAAACTGATAGCAAAAACAAAGTGTGGTAGATTATATCGAGCTTTTAGCAAATTTGATTGGATCATTGATGATGAATCTTATTTTACTCTTTCTCATTCATCAATCAACAGAAACGATAACTTCTACACAAGTGACAATAACCTCTGCCCATCTAGTGTCAAATATTATACAAAGAGAAAGTATGAACCCAAGCTCCTGGTCTGGGTAGTCTTTTCTGTAAAAGGAATGTCAAAAATTCTAATCTGTCAAAGTGGTCTTGCAATCAATCAAAAAATCTACTTAGAAGATTGTATTAAGAAACGTCTTATTTCTTTTATTAAAGAGCATCATCAAGACAGTCAATTCGTATTTTGGCCAGATCTGGCGACGTCTCATTATGCTAAATCTGTTCAAGCTTATTTAAATGGACAAAACGTCAGATTTGTACCGAAAAAAGATAACCCTGCAAATGCACCAGAAGCAAGACCTATTGAGGATTTTTGGTCAATAATAAAAGGTTTAGTTTACAAGGATAATTGGCAAGCAGAAAATTTAGAACAACTAAGGAAAAGGATAGTGTATTGCTTCAGCAAAGTTGATATCAATCTTGTACAAGAGTTTGCAAAGGGTATTTTATCAAGAATTGATTCTATAAGAAGAAAAAATTTAATTGAAAATAAATAAAGTATCATATTATAGAGAATTAAATGCTGATTTTAAATAATATTTTATTTTTTTAAGTTGAAAAAAATAAGTTATGACCCTTTAAAGTCAGTCCGGATTTCAAGTGAACACCCGTTATTTAAATTCCTTTTTATTTCCTATTTTGTTAGTCTTTCTTTTTTTGTTTTTTTGTAAAAGCTATTTTTACGTTGTAATTAAATAAATAGTTAAATTAATTTACTAAATTAAAAATACTTAGAAAAATACTGTTGTAGTTGAAAAATTAAAATTTTAAATACCAAATTAAAATAAAACAGTCACCATTCAAAAATACAACAAATATTTTTAGAATTATATTGACAAAGAGGTTACTCTTTTGGCCACCAAAGTTTGGTTAACAACTGGCAGTTTATAATTTCCAGATGACAAGTAAAGTTTGCTGGCAAAAAATCTGAAAATGTAACAGTCATCTACATCTAAGCACCAAATACCACTTGAGAATAAGCACTCGCATGACTTTCAGAGCTTACTAAATAAACAGTCCAAAAAGAGAAGCTGCTACTGGTGAGCTTGACAAAACTCTTGACAAGGTATCATTCTATAACCCAAGCCGACATGCTAAGCAGAAAACTAAGAACACTCATATGACTCTGGTAGAGTATGACTTGGGTAGATATTTAAGTCACAATACAAGAAACAGTTGGAAGTTGATAAAGATATAATAAAATTGATTGCAAGGACATTTAAAATTTCCAATGATTTGATATATTTCAAAAATAATTAATATAATTCAATAAAATTTAAAAATAATTTTTTTTCTACAGACCTACCATTTTAAATTTATCTAATCTAGCCTTTCAAATCTTTGTGAAGTACTTCAACCAACAAATGGAAGTTAAGGATACAACCGCCAAGGCTTGAATTAAATGACCACAAATTGCAATATCTGGAAATATCTATGGGCATCAATTTCTAACTTTTATTAAAAACCATGAACACTTTTAATGAAATGATCAATTATTCATATTGCAAAAATGAATAAAAAAATTAAAACAATAAATTAATTACTGCAAAAATAACAACAATCAAAACTTGCATATTTTAAATTATTAACTATTTAAATATGAGATAATTAAAGCATTATAAATAAATAGTTATAAGATAAAAACAATAATTACTAAACATCCAAATATTTTTTTGCTGCAATTTGAAAATGAACTCATAGAAAATTATATTAAGACTATTTTTGCATTGTACGAAACATTAAAATCAATTTTTGTTTAGGGGAAAACTTAGAGGAATTATGATTTAAAAAATCAAATGATTTAAATTAGAAATTAATTAAATGATATAAAAAATGATTAAAAAATTATACTTTAAATTCAAAATAAGTTATAAAAGTTATTTTGTTTGTTGTAAAATAACTATAAGTGGTTTAAATTAGTTTTTATATGTTTTTAAATCTATCTTTAATTTTATATAAATATCTGTGTTAGAGAGTTCTGAGCATTTAATTGATGGTTATATTTAATTTATAAGAAAATATTGAATAAGATTTTTATAAGATATAAGTGTATTTTATATCATATTTTGCAATTTCTTTTATTAAATTATTTGATCTATAAATTTGCCCAAAGTTCATTTTTTCAATAACTTTTGTTCTATGGCTATTTAAAAAAAAGTGAGATTTTATTGACTGGCTATAATAGAGATTTTATGCTGATAAAAGAATCGTATAAAAACATAGGTCTGAAAATCATAAAAATGTAATAAAAACTATCTATATTTTTTTATATTAAAAAATTGTAAATAAGAAGAAATTGCGATAACTTAATAACAATTTTAAAAAGCACTTTTAATGCAAAAAGAATGATAGCATCTTTTGTAAAATATTTTAACTAATAAAATTTAAAGTTGCCAGGATTGTCCATAGACAAATTATTAAAATTTCAAAAAAACCTACATAAAAAACTTTTAATTCTGTTACCTTAGTTTGAACAGCAAATTACATTTTTGATAAATCGTCGAAGAGATAACCTGGAAGTAAAGATGCGTCATGACCCACGTTTGGAAATCGTTTAACAGCAATTTTATAAATACTCCGCGGTTTAGGGTGAAGCCCAACACTGCGGAGTCATATAATGTTACACAGTCATTCGCATCGTCAATAATCAAATTACTTATATACAATTTTTTTTATGAAAGTGCGACCATAGCGAACACTGTTTAGCTCGTACCGCGGGAGTACCGTATCGACCAAAACCTTTTCCTTCCATTGAGCTTTGTTTTTTTTTGAATTTAATAATAACCGATTTTATTTGCTGTTAAGTATGGCTGAAGCGGAACTTAATATTGATTCAGTTATAGCTCGTCTTCTAGAAGGTAGCTTGTTTGTTGTATATTTTTTTAAATGCTTTGTTTTAATGAAATACTTTTAACAGTCATTTTTTAACCTTGTTCAACAAGGTTTTAAAATCATTTCAAAATGTATGTTTATTGTATAACCAACCCATAAAATTAACTTTAATTACTCATAACATATTTACTTTGTGTTATAATTATTGTATATTTAACCTTTATCAAAATAAAACATTAGATTGTACTTAAGAATTGAATTTGTTATTGCAAAATCTATAAATAAGGATAAAGGTTCTGTAACCACATTTTTAAGTATGGTCTTTTTTTTTTTTAAGTTTGATGTCTAGTAGGCTTTTTTATTTTAAATTTTGTTTTATATATTCTTAAATACATATTAGCTCTCAAAATAGAAAGCTGTAAATATTGACTTCTTAGATTTATCAAAGTTTTGATTTCTTTAAAACCTAAACATGAATAATCTGAATGTCCTTTACATAACTTTTTTTATAGTTTTTATAAAAATATATTGCTTAATAGTGAGCTTGCATAAAGAAAATCTATCTTTTTGTCTTTTCAATTAAGTAACAATATAGATAGAAAGTTGAAGAATGTTTATAATGTTGAAATTACTATATTAATTTTTATTAAAGAATTTTTTTATTTGAAAACAAAAATTATCAGAAAACTTGAATAATATAATAAAAACTTACTGTCTGTAAATTTCAAGTTTATTACTTACAGGGGTTCCCTAGTAAACTCTTTGTTGGTAGGCATGTACACATATGATAGTGTACCATCAAGTTATATGAATACTATTGAAACATTTTTGCATCACAAATAAAACATGTTTGCCTCATCAATACCTTTCTTTTTTTTAACCAGCTTATCTTACTTTCATGCATCCCAGGAAAAATGTATGGTCTAATAAAAATTACGCAGTAAATGCATTTACTCAATTTGCAAATTATAATTTTAAATGATTTGCAGATTATAAAATTAAAAAAACTTCTAAAATGGGGTAAGAATTAATGGTTTATTGGTAATGACATTAAACAATCATAGTTATTATTATCAGGCCTTACTTTAAAGGCTTATGCCTAGAGCGATTTACGTAACTAATTTTATGTAAGCATTAAGCAATTTTGGTTAAGTGACTTTTTACCATTTTTTAACTTTTAAATTATTCTAGAAGCAGTAAGATAAATAAGTAATTTATTTAAACAAAACCACATTAACTTTTGAATGACAGTTAACTAAAAATATATGTTACAAAAGATTGAATAACAGTTATGTTAGATATAAGCACTATTTAATTAAAAAAAAACTCAAATAAAATAAAAAATTTATATTAATTTTGTTTTTATTTTATTGTAACGTTTGATTATTTCGCTTAAAATACCCTAATACTTTAAAAGATCATAATATAATTTAATTCAGATAAAAAATATTTGATTTAATTTGAAACTAAATTAATAAAAAAATATATTTTTATTCTGATACAAAAAATAATTTAATTTAGTTTTAAAAGATATATTATTTAATTTTGATTTAAAAAATATATTTAAGTTAATTAAAATTAAAGTTAATGCTTGGGTTTAACTTATCTGTCAAATTCATTTGAAAATATTACTAAATATTGTTCAATATTTAAATTTTATTTATTCATAAAAAAATTATATCATTTTTATCGCAATTGTTTTTTTGTTTTTTTTTACTCAAACTTAAATTTTAAATAAATGGCTGCATCAAAAATTTGCATAAACTCAAGTTAAACTTTTTTTATAATGCAAGTTATATCCCAGTGCTTATTTTATAATAAAAGATATATACAGCAATATAATTATAGTAAATGATGTTTGGAAAAATAATCTTTGCTTTCGCATCAAAATTGTTAATAAAGTAAATAAATTAATATAATTTTTTTATTTGTTTCTTGCTAATTTTTTTTTAATAAAAAATCAATTATAGTTGTATGCTATACTATTTAAATATGTTAAATTTTTGAAAAATTCAATAAATTAACACATTTAAATTCCTCTATGCAAATGTCAAGAAAAGAAAGAAATTTGTTAATATCAAACATTTTTTAAAATGTAATATTAGATTTAATTATTTAATATTAAAAAAAAATATTAAAATAAAATAAAATAAATATTCCATATAAAAAGAAGTTAAGTAATATTTAACTTGTTTTGCGGTAATTAATATAATTGCAGTAATTTAAAAACATAAATGTCTTAAAAAAATAAAAAAGTAAAGAGAATTTTATGATATCTAATTCACATTAGACTATTGCATTAAGCATTTTTTATTTAAAACAAGGCCTGTATTATTCTTATTATTATTAAACTTCAACGTCAAATGAGAAATGCTTATATAAATACAGTTTAATATATATAATAAACGTCAAATCAGAAATGCTTATATAAATACAGTTTATGGTAGTTGTAAAATTTTATTTTCTTCAATTTATCATGATTGTTTTTTTTTTTTTTTTTTTTTTTTGGGTTTTGTAGGCTTGGTCAGGATTTTTATTTCAATATTAAAACATTTCAACAGAATACTCTAGAAGTTTATTTTGCTTAGTCAGCTTATTTTTTGAACCAATAGAATTTGTTTGTTTGTAAATTTGCAGGCTTGGACAGGAATGGTGTGCGATCAAGCGCTATTGTTGACCACGCAAATGGTTTTATTTTTTGACAACTTGACAACTATTGTTTATATGTTTTGATGATTTAAACGTTTCAGAAATGTACTGAATGTAGAAATGCTAAGCTAAATGCTAACTTAAACTAGGAAAAAAAGTTTAAAAAAACGATCGAAAAAAAATTCCTAATAAAAAAAAAAAGAAAAAATATATATTAAGAAAAAGAAATTAAATAAGCACTAAAATAAAAAAATTAAAATGCTAGCTTAAAAAGTTTAAATCTTTTTAAGCTAGCATTTTAATAAAATTAATCAGCAATAGCAAAGTTGTCGATAAAATTGAACAAAAATACTTTCTTTTAGTTTTAGATTTTTAACTTTAATAATTATTTTACGGGGGTTTGTTAGGTTTTAAAATTATTCCATAGATTTAAAAATATTTATTAACTGTTAGACGAATTTAAAGTATTTAAGAGTAATTTCGAGGAAACATTTTAAAAATTAGTAAGCGCAAATAAAAAAGTAAAAGGATTAATATTAAAACGTATTCTACTTGATTCAATAAAAAAGTACAGTTATTAAAATTTCTGTAAAAAGTAACTCGAAAAAAATTACTTAAATAATAACAATTTCTTTTTTTGTTAAAAGTTACCGAAACTCAACAAAGCGTGCTCAAGAACAGCTGCTGAAAAATAGAACATCAATAGTTTTTCGAATAATTTTTAAGAATAATTTTTAAGAATAATTGTTTTCGCTGAAATATTTCTTGAATATTTGAATATTTGAATATTTCTGAAATATTTATACCTAAAAGATTCTTATTCTAACATTTTATTTTACCAAAAATAAAATTCCTTGTAAACATTAAAAATCTATTCAAAACGTTCGTTAAAGTTTTTTAATAATACGAGTGATTGTGCTTATCAACTGCTTTATGAAAATAAATAAAAATAAATAAATAAAAAAATATTATATAAAATCGCTAGTAAAAATATTAGCTATTGCACAGTTTTTAATCGTACAATATTAAAATTTCCAGTTTATTACTCTCTGACTTTTTAAAAAGAAAAAATAATTATTTGAAAAACTTATGTTTTTTATTCCTTTAGTATAGACAAAACGTGTCAAACGTCAAGAAAATAAACAAATGTTTTTACATTTTAAAAAACAAAACATTCCAAAACATTTTTAAATAATAACATTTCTACATTAATGATTTAAAGTAGTTTTTCGGTAATTAAGTAAATTGGTGCAGTTAATGTCGATAAATATGAAAAGCAAATAAAAAGAATTTAATGACATCAGAAATCACGTCGTGCTTATGCGTCGCGCAGTTTTTATTCATCACAAGGCCTGGTGTTGTATATAATATTTTCAAATTGTATAAACATTTTTTTTTTTTTTTTAAATTGCAAAAAAAATATATATATATCTATTTATAATAATTTCATGCTCCTATTCATTTTATTAATTTAATTAATAAGTTTAGTTAAAAAAAAGTTTTTATCTTTTTTATTTGTTAAAATTGGGGATAAAAAAATAATAAAATGCGCCTGCAATTTTAATAAAATAAACTGTCAACAACCAATTTAATTTAATTTTAATTTGAGCATTACAACATTATTAATAAGCACTTTACGTAATGAATTTAAAAATTATTATAAAAAATTTAAACTCATTCATTCCTATCATAATTAAAAAAAAAAAACTTTCAAAAAAAAAAAAAAGATTTTTATTAATATTTTTTAATAATATTAAGACTTTTGTATAACATTTTTTATTAATTAACAAATGCGTGTATGTAAACAATCATTATAATTAATTTTATGGTTTTTTTTTAAAGCCTCACGTAAAATAAAAACTTTAGAAAAGATCAACGATTAAAAGTTATTCATAACGTAACACTTTTTTTATTGCATTTAAATTGTTAAAACATCAAATTTGCAGTGGTCAAGTTGTAAAGAAAAAGCAATATCAGCGTGGTTAATTACAGAGTGCGACCACACGCCATTCCAGTCCAAGTCTGAATTTGGCGGGTTTTTAGTGTTTGCAAATATTCTTTTTATTCTTTCGCACCAAGATGTTTTAAGAACATTCAAGTTTATTTATGTTCCCATGTATGTCCGTAAAACTAAAATTTTTTGTTTTATGAACATACATAAACTTAAATGTTCTCAAAGCGACTAAAAAATCTGGCTAGTTTTTCTAAATAAACTAAATATTACTTCTGTGGTCAGTATTCAAGAGCGACTGCTCCCGCTTCCTGACCAAGCCTGGTTTTAGCATTTTATTGGCAGTTGATTCCATTGTTTGAGTATCCTATTTAAGAAGAAGTTGCACCAGACATCAAACTTGTTTTGCTTCTCTCATTAGGAAGT